GGGGTGGATGTTCCCAACCCAGGGATCAAATCCACATCTCCTGCATTGGCAGGTGGATTCTTGACTGCTGAGCCATCTGGGAACCCCTAAGTATTTATTTATTTTTTCCATTTATTTTTATTAGTTGGAGGCTAATTACTTTACAATATTGTAGTGGTTTTTGTCATACATTGGCATGAATCAGCCATGGATTTACATGTATTCCCCATCCTGATCCCCCCTCCCACCTCCTTACCCCTAAGTATTTAGATAGGGATCTGTAAAAACTGTATATACAGGAGTCTAGTCTGTTTAAAGAAAGAGTTTTTAATGTGAAGAATTCCTCAGATAGCTGCAGGTCTCTGAATTTAAATATATATCTTTAAAATAATCAAACTGTTTTTGAAAGACAGTTGCCAAAGGTATGAGTGGTTCACTTTTCACTGGGCCCCAAAATCTGTTGCCCTTCTTATCTAAACAGTTCGTGTAGGTAAATACAGTTTTTGCGTTGATTCCAGAGGCTCAGACTTCCTAAAGCCCGTCATCCATGAGCTGACAAAGGATAGGACTGCCTTTGAATCCTAAAAATAACCTCAACCTGGCTTACTTTGATATTTTTCAGGGCCCAGTTATTTATGTAATATCCTATTTATATGACTTATTAAAATTTTTCTAGAATATAGGGGTTATGCAAGTTTCTTGGAGTCTGAAATTTTCTTTTCATATTAAAGGCTTAAAGTCACAGTGTGATCATTCTAAGAGCACTTGCCTCAGGAGCTCTGATCACTTTACAGTGCAGTGGACCTGTCAGAAATAATGCTTCTAATCACTGAAAATAGCTTCCAGCTAATCTTTTAAACAGCATTTAATCTTCTCCAGTTTTTTAGTGCACATAAAATCAGCATAATCATATTAATGCTGAATAAGACCTTGCCCTCACATAGCAGCTGTTTCATTATCAACAGGTGGGGATAGTTTCAAGTTATCCAGGCCCCATTTATCCATAGTCTCTACTGTTCCCCATCAAAAGCTACTCCTCACTTTTGAGTATTTCACTGCTTTATAAAACCACTTCTGCTGAGAGGTCTAGCAAAATAAAAATTACTGGGACATAGTATTCCAGAGCTCCTCACAAAATAATTAGGGAAGAGGAGAAAAACTTTAAATTACTGAATTTAATTCAGGGTCATAAATGTCAGTGGTTGACAATACACACCCAGAATCAGAAGTTGGCATGACTCTTGATTGTAGTTATGTTGTTGAGCCTTTAAGATTTTTAGGAAATCAAACAAATCAAAAAACACAGAATGTCAGACTGGAAGAGGACTTTTGAGTCAGAGTTTCCATGTGGGTGGAAGAAAACCCTAGGAGGCCCATTCTCAGGTGCTCTTTAGAAGCAGGTTCCCCTGGGGTAAGAAGTGTGTCTGAGATCACCCAACTAGTAAGACCTAGAGCTCAGATGGTAAAGAGACTGCCTGCAATGCAGGAGAACCGGGTTTGATCCCTGGGTCAGGAAGATCCCCTGGAGAAGGGAATGTCTACCCATTCCAGTATTCTTGCCTGGAGAATTCCATGGACACAGGAGCCTGATGGGTACAGTTCATGAGGTCATAAAGTGCCGGACGTGACTGAGCAACTTTCACTACTACATCAGATATCACAGGTTTTTTTATGATTCTAATCAATGAAATGTATTTGCAGTATCATTAGAACTTTTGATCACCATTCACCATCTGATTCATTCAGTAATGCTTACTGAAATATACTGAATGAGGACAGTTTACTCTAGGCCATGCATTCTCAACAGTAATAACATTGCCCCAACGGAGTACAAATCTGTCCTTGAGGAGCAAACCGCTTAGATAGTACAGTGGATCTGGACCCCACAAAGATCAGCTGTACCCAACAATATTTTATTCCTTATTAATTACTTTCTCTTGTTAAATTTATTTTTAACTTTTATTTGGAGAGGACAGTAATGATACCATAGTGAGAAGCACTGCTCTAGGGATAACAGATGAATGCTTGATGGAAGGAAAATTCTTTATCAAGAGTGAGATGTGGAGTCTCTTTCTAGCTATGCTCCTAACTGATTGCATGGCCATCAAAAAATCACTTTAGCCTCTCTCAGGCTATCATCAGACCACATCTGATACATGATGATGAATGACCATGGGCTCCCTCCAATTTCAAGACTGCTGATTTTATGAATCTTGGAGTCTAGCTAAGGAAAATCAGTTACCAAAGCATCAAAATTAGTCTGTCAGAAGGGTGTTTCTTTCTCAAGAGCAGATATAATTGTGGTTCTCAACAATATTTGTCCCACCTTAGTGGGACAGACCTACTTCCTTCAGCTATTGAAGCTCTCTCTAGTAGTGGTTCTCAGGCAGGATAGGGAAGGACATTTGACAACACACACATCCAGGGCAGCAGAAGGGTGCTGGGGAAGGAGAGCCAAAAGTCCCTTGGGAAATTAATCTGCGTGTAATTGAGAAGAGGCCTCCTGGGTGACTAATACCCCACTCAACTCTCCATCCCATGTGAAATGACAATCACTCCTTTAAGACAGTCTCTCTTTGTAGGCTAGTCACCTTAATTCTGTTAAGTGACCAAAAACTCCCATTAATCCTGGTCAGCTCTCTTGAAGCTTACCTCCAACTATAACTGGCCAAGAGCATAGATGAACTCAAGTAAACCTACTAACACTGCTAGGTAAAATCTCAAATATTTATATTAACGTAATGACTTTTAACATGTATTTATAACTTTAATTTTTTATTAGCTTTATCAAGATATATTGTTTAACAAAGTACACAGTGTATATAGTTCAGCACACAAAGTGTATAGACACATGTAATCAGCTGCCACCCCAGTCAAGATGCAGAACATTCTGTCCCTGTTGAAGTTCTGCCATGCCCCACTGCAGTTAGTCCCTCATTTTCATCCCATACCCCCAGGCAGCCATTTACCTGATTTCATTTACCACAGCTTGGTTTTCTCTGTTCTAGAACTTAGAAATGTGTGTATAAACACTTTCCTCCATCATTGCATCTAAACATTTTAAGTGTAATAATTTTTTTTTAAGTTTGGTATTTACATCTAAAGTAAAACATATCCTTAGCATATGACTCAACAGTCCTACTCTTGATATATACCTAAGAGAAATGAAAGCTTCAGTCCACATAAATCCCTGATGCAACTCTTTAATTGTAGCTTTATTGATAGTCCAAAACTGCAGTCCAAATGTTCATCAATGGATGAATGAACAAATGTGACATATCCATATAATGGAATACTATTCAGTATTAAAAGGGAACTAGTTAGTGTTACTTCAGCAATATGGGTATATGTCAAAATTATGTTGAGTAAAAGAATCCCGACATAAGTATATTAGCTTTGTATATTATATAAAATTCTTGAAAAAGCAAAATTATAGTAACTGAAAGCAAGTTGTGTTGCTTGGGACCCAAAGTGGAGTGGAGAGTTATTGCAAAGGAATACAAGGGAACTCCGTGGGGTCATGAAAATGTCCTGTATCTTGGTTCTGGTGGTAGTTACACAGATGTGTTAGTTTTCTGGGGCTGTCACAGATCTGGTGGTTTAAACACAGAAATTGACTCTCTTACAATTCCGACTGAAGTCCAGGATGGAGGCGTGAGTTAGCAGGTGTGGTTTCCCCTGAAGCCTCTCGGCTTGGCTTGCAGGTTGCCACCTCTCACTGTGCCCTCACGTGCCCTTTCCTCTGTTCACGTGCAGACTTGGTGCCTCTTTGGTTAGTTTCCTCTTCCAAGGATACCAGGTTAGGCTCGCCCTAACCACCTAAGTTAGAGCCACATTTTAACTGAATCATCTCTCTTAAGGCCCTGTCTCCAATTATAGTCACATTCTGAGATACTGGGAGTTAGGGTTTCAACATAGGACTTTAAGGGACACAGTTCAGCCCATCACAAGTCTTAAACATTTGTCAGTATTCATGAACTATAAAATTACAGTACATACATTTCATTATATGCAAATTGTATCTGTATATACTACTGGTGGCATTATACATCAGAAATAGCTTTCTTCAAAAAAAAAAAATGCTTTCTGGAATTCAGTTTCACATTATCTTTCAGAAAATATTTTTAGTGTATACCATTTATCTGGAAATTCTACTTTTAGGAATTCTAAGAACATAGTGTGTGTGTGCCATGTTTACTGTTACATATGAAATATTAAAAAAAATTTAATGACAATATCCATACACTGAAATACAGAACTGTTAAAATAATGTAAAAGAACTAAACGTGGGAAAATGTTCATAATACACTATTAAATGAAAGGGGAAAGTTATCAAACTTTATAATCTGTGACCCCCAAATGAGAAAAGATGTACGGTGTACACAAAAGATGTTCAGATTCTCTAGTGTCTTTGTCTGAACAGTGAGATCATAAGTGGCTGTCGTCTTTGTGCCTTTTGCTGTTTGCTAACTGTTCTTCAGTGAACATGTTTTATATATGTGTGTTTTTTTCTAAGTTGGGTGGTTCTGAAAGGAAATTTTCTCCCATATCACAAGTAAATTCTCCATTTCTTTCTAATCACATCTTTTATTTTGTGACTGACATAACTGTGTGTCACAAAAAGCTGTAAATGTATAGGAATGACTCGGGACCTTCTTGGCAGCTGTACTGACTGGTCTGTGTGTAGCTAAATTAAGGATCTGTAACGAGATCTATCATGGGTACACAAGGCAAGGGTGATAAAACAAGAAAGCTCAGATAGGGAGCAACCTAATAAGGAAGCGCAGGGGGACTGGTTTTCCCTGGGATTACAGTCTTAGGCAGGAAAATTATTATTGATGAGAATGTGTCGCCACTCCCTCATCGCCCTGCTCTCTTTAACCCTCTTAGCATGTTCGTGCTACTGAAAGGGGCCACTAAGGAGCAGTCTTTTAAGATCGGGCAAGAAATTGCTGAAGCTGTAACTGCTACCAACCCTAAACCAGTGAAACTGAAGTTTGAAAAGGTAAGAGAAATGTAATACTAAAAATCACATAAAATTCACATACCTCCTAGAGATTTCTGATTTCTTAATACATTTTCAGGGTATACAGGTCTGTGAAAGTGTTAATTTAAAGTACTTTTCCATTAGTTTGATATAGTTTTCAGAAAAAATTTTTTTAGTAGTATCTGATATAAAGAAATGAAAAGACTGTTGCACTAAACTATCGATGTGCAGCCCCAAACTTCATGGTATAAAACAAGCACCATTTTATTACGCTCCCAGATTTTATCGGCCAGAAATTCAGAAAGGGTACAGCTGGATGGCACTTCGCTGCTCCATGATGTTGGGGTCCTCAGCTGACAGCGCAGGACTGATCCCCTGAAGCTTGCTCACTGCTCACTCCCACGTCTGGGGGTTGATGCTCGCTGCTGTTTGGACACCAGCTGGAACACCTACATGTGGCCTTTCCCTAAGGCTACTTGCTCTTCCTCACAGCATGATAGCTGAGATCTAGGAATGAACATCCCAAAGAGAACCAGATAAAAGCTGTTTTGCTTTTTATGACCTAGTCTCAGAATCATACAGATCACAGCCTATCTAGATAGGAAAGGGAACATAAGCCCCCATCTCTTAATGGGAAGAATGTCAGTCACACTGTCAGAAGGTGGTGTCTGAGAGGAATGTTTCTTTGGAGAATGCAGTTTGCCACAAGGGCCTTCTGCTGTTTTCACTGTACCTTAGATATGAAATATGCATTTACTTCTTTCTATAGAAAAGATACTGACCTAGGAGCAATGTGGAATGCAAAAACACAGTCCTCCCCCCTAAGAGCCAGGAGTCTAAAAGGAAAGATTAGAAATGTATGTAAATGGTCTTTTATTGTAAACTTAGCGAGCAGTCTCCCTAAGCACTATAAGAGTGCAAAGAAAAGGAGGTACTGTGTCCCTCTAGGCCAGGTGGGGAGACTCCCCGTAGGAGCTAACGCTGCAGTGTGTCTCAGAAAGTGGTCAGAATCTCAGCCATGCAGCTGTGGCACTGCCGTCCTTCTGCACAGAGGAAATGGCATATATGGGGACACGGAGTAGCAGAAGTCTGAGAGAATCGAAACCAGGCTACAGAGTGTCTTGAATGCCAAGCTAAAGTGTTTAAACTTTATTCAGTAAAGTTTATCAAACAAAAGCATGGCAGAGCCTCTTAGGGAGAATTGACCTCACAGTGGTTTGGAGATGGATGTGGAAGAGAAGAATCTCAAGACAGGATGCCTGTTACAACCTGTATATACTAAAGTAGGGGGATGAACTAGTGAAAATAAACAATTCAAGACATACTGAGAAAGAAGGATGGGCAGGAATTAAAAGTTTTTTAGGAAAGCAGGTGTGGAAAAGAGAAAAGAGGGAGATGAGAACCAAACATGACTCGCAAATGTTTATTATGCACCTGCTCTGAAGCAAGAATTGTGCTAGGAAAGATTCAGAGAGGACTTGGGTTTGGTATCTGCCCTGAAGAGTGAGCATTCTAATTCGGGTGAGAGGGGGAGGAACAATTAGAGAAGAGTGATGCTGTGGACATTCAGCCTGTCTAGCAAAGTGAAGAGCATGGTGTCATTAGAAACTAACACTGGATGTGAAATTTTATCTGAAATAGATTACAGGCCTAAGCATAAAAGCAAAAACTGTACAACTTCTCAAAGAAAACAAACCATTTGTTAAGAATTGCAAGGCATTGTTCATGAATATTGGTCTGTAGTGTTCTTTTGTTTTTGTTTTCTGCTTGTATTGTCTTTGCTTTGGGGACAGGGTAAGAAAAGCTGACCTCATGAGTTGGAAGTATTTCCTCTTCTACTTTCTGAAAGAAAAAGTGCATAAGATTGGTGCAGTTTTTTCTTAAATGGTTGATAACATTCATCAGTGAAGCAATCTAGTCCAGAAATTTTATGGGGGAGGGAGTATTTTCAATTATAATTTAAATATCTTTAATAATTCAGGTTCTCTTCTCATGTCAGTTTTAAAATTTGTGATTGTCAGTGAGTTTGTCCATTTCTCTGAAGTTACCAAATTTATTGGCATGAATTATATATACTTCCTTAAAGTGATTTTGGTATCTGTAAACTCTGGTTACATCCCACCTTTTACTTTTGATATGGATAATGTATGTTTTTCTCTTTTTCCTCATTCTAGCTAGAGGTTTAACCATTTATAGAACTTTCTGAAGAACCGTTTCATTAACATCCACTCTATTATTTCCTTCCTTTAGGATTAGTTTGCTTCTCTTTTCCTGTCTTCTTAATTTGCAAACTTGAATCACTAATTTTAAACAAATTTTTAATATAAGCACTTTAAAGATATAAATTTCTCTCAAAGCACCAGTTTAGCTTCAGATTTTGATATCTTGTGCTTTTATTATTTTGGTATCTTTTGGTGGTGGTGGTACTCAGTCATGATTCTTTGTGACCCCATGGACTAGCCCACCAGGCTTCTCTTTCCATGGGATTTTCCAGGCAAGAATACTGGAGTGGGTTGGCATTTCCTCTTCCAGGGAATCTTCCCAAACCAGGGATCCAACCCACATCTCCTCCAATGGCAGACAAATTTACCACTGTGCCACTTGGGAATCCCTGTTCATAAAGTCAGGATTCCTTTTTCTCCATCAGGGCAGCTAAAAGCCAGGCCCTCTTGCAGATTCCCTTGCAGGACTTCTAGGCACTCCCTGCCATGTGTGTACGTGCGTGTGCCCAGTCCTGCTCCACTCCTTGCACCCTGTGGACTGTAGCCCACCAGGCTCCTCTGTCCATGGGATTCTCCAGGCAAGAAACTGGAGTGGGTTGCTTTTTCCTCCTCCAGGGGTCTTCCTGACCCAGGGATCCAACCTGAGCGTCCTGCACTGCAGGCGGCCTCTTCCCCACTGAGTCTCCAGGGAGGCAGAAGCCACCTGGGACCTTGCGCTTCGGTGATGACGAGCTGCAGGTCATTTAGAGGTGTGCTGCTTAAGTTCCAGGTATTTGATATTTCCAGGTAGCTTTTTGTTACTAATTTTAATTCCATGTGGTAAAAGAACATAGTCTATATAATTTCAGTGCTTTTAAATTTGTTTAAGTTCATCATTTGGTCTAGCATATGGTCTTCTCTCTCTCTTTTTTTTTTTTTTTTTTTTGGAGTCTACTGGGTCTTTGTTGTGACCACGCAGCCTTTCTCTGTTTGCGGCCAGCTGGGGCAGCTCTCTAGTTGCAGTGCACGGGCTTCCCGTTTTGTTGTCTTATCTTGTGGCACGCAGGCTCCTCCTGAACCAGGGATGGAACTGATGTCTGCTGCACTGCAAAGTGGATTCTTAACCACTGGACCACCTAGGAAGCCCAGCATGTTCCCCTGTGACCTTGAAAATCCCTGTGTATTCTGGTTATTGGGTGGAATGGTCTACAGTAACACTTATGATAATTAATAGTGTTGTTGAAGCCAACAATAACAATTTTGCTGACTTTGTTTCTAGGAGAGAGCGCCAAAGCATCAAATACAATCACAGATTTGCCTGTTTCTTGTTTTTAGTTCTGCCAATTTATATTTCATGCATTTTTAAGTTTTCTTATAAGCTATATATACATTTATGGTTATTTATCTCCTTGATGAACTGATATTTTTAACTTCGATAATATCCTTTGTCTGGAAATCTACTTTTTCTGATATTATATAGCCACTCCAGCTTTGTTTTGATTAGTATTAACAATTGTATCTTTTTTTTCTAACCTTTGTATTCTTTTTTATTTAAAATAGATTTCTAGTAGAAAACATGTTGTATCTCTTTGATGGGATCTAATCTGATCATTCCTGCCTTTTACAAGTTACATTTTCTTTTCACATTTTCTAACACCAGTTTTCTACTTTTTACACCACTTACATTTAATGTGATTACTGATACAGCTTGGGGCAGAAGAAAGGACCAGTTTGGTAATATAAAAAGGGGTGGAGACACACACCCATTCATCCAGGAATTCCACTTCAAGGAATTTATCCTTCGAATTAATCCATGCAAGGTTGTTCATAGGAACACTATTTGTAATTCCAAAAGACTGAAAACATCCTAAATGATGCAGAGTAGGTAACTGGTTACAAAATTTATTATACCCTCATAAAATGGACTGCTATGTAGCTACAAAACAAAATGAACTTTCTATTCAGAATGGAATTCTCTCCAAGATAAACCAAATGAAGTAAGCAAAGTGCAGAGTGAGGTGGAAGGTAAGCTACCCTATGTGTATAAGTACATGTACTTAGAATACCTCTGGAAGAACATACAGGAAATCAGTAACAGAGGATGCCTCTATGGAGGGAATGGTAGACTCTTTATTGTATATTCTCTTGTAACTTTTTAATTTGTACCATATGTAGGTGTTCCTGAAATGTTTTAATTGTTTAAAGAGATATGATTGACTCTGAAAGAGCGTGTCAGCCGAGGAAGGAGCAATTTGGTAGTGCAAGTTAAGACAACTCATTTTGTGTGCTTTGTCCTCCAAGTGCTGTTCATGAATTTATTGGGCCCTAAGCCGTATTTAGAATTTTCTTAAAATTGACATCTGGTTAAAGAGAAGAAAAGACATATAAAAATAAGATGTTCGTGGTTGGGGGGAAAGTGGTTATTGAGAGACATTTTATTAATTTCATCACAGGTATATCTGCCCTGTGTCTTACAAACGAAAAAGAGGTATGTGGGTTACATGTATGAAACACTGGACCAAAAGGACCCAGTATTTGATGCAAAAGGAATAGAAACAGTGAGAAGAGATTCCTGCCCTGCTGTTTCTAAGGTAAGTTTTATCTATCTTGTTTTCATCTTTTAGAAATAAGTGGCAAAGAAAGTGGTAAACATCTTTAAGCAAATATCTAGGTGGAAGAACTGTATAGACTATATGACTATGTCTAACTAAAAGAGAAACTGTATGATTTTTTGAATTTCATTTGTAATGAAAGCAGCTTATTTAAGTCCTTAGTTTCTGACCTCTCCCACACCTTACCTTTTACACAGTTGCTAAAAAGCAACACTTGACCTTGATAAAAATTTACTGCCTAATCATCCAGAGATGATATGATATTTTATCATGTGGCAACACCCAAAAGCTGTGAAGCAGGATAAAGAAGAGAGACAGTGAACAGAGAAATTTCATAAGTAAAATAATCCATCTTAGATTAACTGAAATTCTATCTACTTGGGTTACCAAATACAAGTTAGGAAGATTTCTGAACACTGGTACTATAAATTACCTAAGTTTCTCAACCACAGTAATTTTAGTCATAGTATTTTTTATTTCTTTTTTTCTTTATTCAGGCCCATATTTGTTCTGTAACAAATGAAAAATAATTACTGTCAATCTCTCGTGCTTTTAATGCTATCATAAAACTCAGTGTAGAGAATAGGAAATGGCAGCCCACTCCAGTATTCTTGCCTGGAAAATGCCATGGACAGAGAAGCCTAGTGGGCTACAGTCCATGGGGTCACATGAGTCATCCATGACTAAGTCACTTTCACTTTCAAAAGAGAGAATGAGAAAGAAAAGAAAAAAAAATCATCTAACAATCACAGATTTGGTTCTGAAGGGCAACTGTTATTATGATTTTGGAGAAGATCAGATTTTTTAGTACTCATGTATAGGTTTTTTCCTTTCCTGTAGTATTAAAGGACAAAGTTGAAAGAGTATTCTGTGTATCTATGAAAATCAAAGTGCATACCAAATATTTGGTATTTGATCCCACAGGGATTGACTTATTAGTACTTGCCCAGCCTTGTGAAAATCTACATGATGCACCAGGGCCCTTGGGGGCACATTCAGTCTCATAGAAAAGAGCAGCCTTTCAGGATCAGGAACTGCAGTTTCATGGTGGAGAAGTTTTATTACTGATACCAAAAATACTTTGGAAAACAATTATGTTCAAAATTTAAAATTAAATGAGAAATGTATGCCTTAAAAGACACAAAACCAAAGTCTCAACTCCTTGCAGACTGCTGATTAGAAGCTTCAGGGATTTTCACAACATAAATCTTTGTTTTGTGTGCTGTTTATTCAAACAAATTAATTCAACAATGTGCAATAAAGGTTTTCTCAAAGCAAAAAAAAGTGTGTAGAGTGCTATTCTGTTTATACCATATGAGAGCATTAAAAGCATAGGAGATTGACAGTAATCAAACCTATATGTCATATATGTAACATCATATAAATTTGAGATATATTTCATACTAGTTTCTGGAAAGGTACTATCCAGTGCATTCTTTCTCTGAGGGAAGAATGGTACTTTAGCTAAGTTAGCAAATTTCTTGTGTAAAATACGTATGGATTCCAGTACTCAAAATAAGATGCAGAGCTTTCACCTGGAACTAATTTAAATTCATTCCACTGTATGTCAGTCATTTTCCAATAGAAATACTGCAGCACAGAAAATTCTGTCACAGTTTCTATTTACCGACATTTTATAAAAAGGCAAAAGACTGGCTTTTCTTTCACTCCTTGGTGATGTTTAAACTTCTTTCTGTCTACCTGAATCCAACCCTTTCTATAACAGAGTAAATAAAAAATAATACATGAAAATCATGTCTAGCTTTCTGTGCCTAGAGTACTCTTGGCTATATAAGACAACTTAAATGTTTCATGTTGCTCACCACACACAGCAAACACTTCATCTGCATGTCATTCCAATATGATTTTCCTCAAACTACATAATCTATTTTTAGAAATAGCAAGCTAAATCTCCAAATAATTCCCAGTTTCAATAATTTTTTATTATCCAGTCATTGTAAATAGGAGATTGTTTAGGTAGATCAGGAAGTTTTCTGGTAAGTTATATAAGTGAAAGTGTAACAGCAGTGATGAAATATAGGATGTTTTACCTTTACTAGCATATCCATTTTCTTTTTAAGATACTTGAGCGTTCTCTGAAGCTGCTATTTGAAACAAGAGATATAAGTTTAATTAAACAGTATGTTCAGCGACAATGTATGAAGCTTCTGGAAGGAAAGGCCAGCATACAAGATTTTATCTTTGCCAAGGAATACAGAGGAAGTGCCTCTTACAAACCCGGTGCCTGTGTGCCAGCCCTTGAACTTACAAGGTAATGATGCGTATAGCAGCACAGCCCGCAGTACCTACTCAGTGTGGTCCCGGGATTCTGAATGGAGTAGATGAGAAGACCTCGTCCACAGGCACAGATACACAGCTGTCTGTGCTCCCACCCGCATGAAGCCTTATCAACGTGAGTGGGTGACCCCCAAATGCTGCAAGCTCTGAAGTGGAATAAAGAGCTCCTCTTTTGGCCTTCCGTGCAAAAACAATTCAGTGAAACTGTAATCTGTTACAGAGCTGGACGTGATTGTTTTTCCTATATCAGAATCATAGGTAGTCCTCAGTATTGATCCTACCACAGCAGTAAGGTGGTGTCATTCTAGAAGATCAGCTGATCAGCGAAATTTTCTCTTATCTTTTAGATTTATGATAGTTAATTTAAACTAGTTGGTATCTGCCAACTCATACTGTTCTCCAGGTAACAGTAATTAACAGGGTAAGTTTTATTAAACTCTTAGAGCATATCCACTTGGTGCTAAGTGAAGTGTATATGGTTGTCAGAGTTAAAACTACTTTGAAGGTTCCCCTTGTCAATTTCTCATGGCTTGATTATTGTTTAATTCTCATTTCATTTTCTGAAGAGATGCCTTCCATGACAGTCTTTGAGTGACTGTTTTATTTGGATTTAAATAGGAAAATGCTTACTTACGATCGGCGCTCTGAGCCTCGAGTTGGGGAGCGAGTCCCATACGTCATCATTTATGGGGCCCCTGGAGTACCACTTATCCAACTAGTAAGGCGCCCAGTGGAGGTCCTGCAGGACCCAACTCTGAGACTGAATGCCACTTACTATATCACCAAGCAAATCCTTCCACCCCTGGCAAGAATCTTCTCTCTCATTGGCATCGATGTCTTCAGCTGGTATCATGAATTACCAAGGGTAAGCCTACTGAACAGCACCTGTGGGATGACTCCATAGAGAATTCACTTAACGTTTTCAGTAGAACTAAAGCTTTTATTTACATGCTATCAGAGCAGAACAAATCCTTCATTATCCTAAAGCAACAAAGGTGCTATACTTTCCTGGTTTCATCTTTTACAAACACCTTCCCAGCTTCTGTCAGATTAGCCAAATTATAGAAGATTAAAATAAATCCCACAGCTACTTCAGTGGTAAACACTTAACTATAAAATATCACAAACAGCAAATAAGAATGAAAGAGAGCAGAAATTCCTTCAAAATGGGTATTTAAGAAATATATAAGCTCTAGTAGCTAGACAATAGTTCTGTAGAAACCAGAGTAAAGAATATTACAGTATCGTTTTACTAAAATAAAACATGCAGTGTGAAATCTTACCAAAGGGAGTTTTGCCTGAACTCCTTTTTTCTTAGTTTATCCCCATCGGAGCCCTGAAGGAACAATTTGTGGTTCTGTAACAATCAGGGATACATTACTCTAGGAAAGTAGCAGTTGTTATCTGATGTTTACAATTAGGTCTTCTCAGCCATTTGCTCAGACTAGGAAAGCCTGACAGTATTCAGGAAAATTGATATAAGTTAATACTTAAATTGTTTTTACTGGGAAATTGAGGGTGAAGCTGTGCTTCAGACAGTCTGTTGGCCAGCATCTGTAACACTGGGCCCTGGCTCTGCACCACAAAGATATTAGTGTTTTTCATTACATCAGCAGCAAGAGTGTTCAACCAGTGGCATTTATAAAAGGCTAACCTAATAACTTTGGTGCAGAGTGACTTGTAAGACACCAGGGGAATACACCAAGGGTATGATAGATAGTAAGAGGATAATGTTATTTCAGTGTGAAAAGAGTATCAGAGGACAGATCTCTGAAACCATTATCAACTTCAAAGAAGGAAGCTTGGTAACATGTATCTAATTTCATTTGAAATACTCCAGGTTTACTTTTGCTTGAATTTTGCACCTTAATGCCTAATAGGTTACTTTTTTACCTTGCTTCCATGGCCAAAACTGTGCAGTCTGAAACAGTGTCCACTCTCCACCTGGATTTCCTCCTTTGTCCTCCATGATCTCCTTTGCCCCCTGTAATTTCATACACCTACATATCACAACCAAAAACACGGAGTGACAAGAAACTGTTTGTTTTTTATTGAGGTATAATTGACATACAATGTGATATTAGTGTCAAGTATACAATATAGTGATTTGACAATGAGACGATCACCATGATAAAATCCAGTTATCATCTGTTACCATTTAAAGTTACTGCAATATTATTGACTGCATTTCCTAATTTATATAATATATCCTGATGACTTATTCACAACTGGACGTTTGTACCTTTCTGAGACCATCCCCCCCCCCAAAAAGGAAAACAAAACACTATATCTGATGATATTAAGCTATAAAGGAAGGACTTTGTTCTTTTCTAAAGTCCCATTATCTAGAACAGTGCCTGATATATAGTAGCTATTCAGTAATTTGTTGAACACAGGAAATAATGCCTTAGTGATCCTGTAACTAGCATGAGAAGAGCCACTCTGCTATAAAGCTGGCTTAGACTTATTTCTGAATTGATGTTTGTATAGATCCAGAAGGCCACCAGCTCCTCTCGAAATGAACTTGAAGGGCGGAAAGGCACTATCGCACAATATTTCACTACCTTACACTGTCCTGTGTGTGATGACCTGACTCAGCACGGCATCTGCAGTAAATGTCGCAGCCAGCCTCAGCATGTAGCAGTCATCCTCAACCAAGAAATTCGAGAGTTGGAACGTCAACAGGAGCGACTTGTAAAGGTACATCCCTTGTTCAATAGACCCAGAATCCCAAGCAGTCTGAGTCTTCAGGGAAATGTAGTCAACTCCTGAGGGAGGTATAGTGTGAGATGTGAAAGTGGAGTAAGGATTCTAAGTTAATGAATTTCTAAAATCCTGAAAATAGCATAATTGAACTACTAAAAACTAACTGTGTTTATTAGAACCATAGAACTATACTGTCCAGCCATCCAGTTTCTTTTATAGCAGTATTTCTAAAAAAAGAAAGTGCTAATTGCTGTGTCTCCCATATCTACTTACCATTCTCATAGAAATCTTGTTTTCTTAGAGAATTGCTAGTCTACTTGGAAGGTTTGCAGTTCTTAATGACTGATTATATCTTCTTATACCATCATGTTTCAAGTTACATTTTTAGCTTTCAGGAAAGAATAACAATCTTGTGGTGGAGTTTGTTTTGTCTTTATATGAGTAACATATAAGGTTATTGAAATGTTTTAAAGCCAACCAGATGGTTGAGAGGCAGTGTGATTTAGTGGAAAATGAATCCAGTGGATAGTAAGGACATCGGGTTTTCAGTCTGGACTCCATAGTATTGCCCATGTCCCTGGCCCCAGATTTCTCAGAATGCAGGTTGATGCTCTTTCATAGGTCCCTACTAGCTCTTCTGTTGTGAACTCTCCTATACACTCTCTCCTAGCAGCTTATCTGCTCTAAAGTAATCCAGCCACAGTATGTAAAGGCCAGGCTCTGCACCATGCCCCTTCAAGGTAAAGAGGCTTTTGAATCAAGTCAGAGTATCCACAGCCTCCTAGAAGGACACTCCTAGGTGCCATGCAGGGCAACAGGACAGAAGCCATCTCTGGGGAGACGAGGCTGTTCAGAATTTGTATGGTTATAGAAGGATAGTTAAGAATGTTACAGACTGTTTCCTCTGCACCATCCTAGCTGCTGTTCTGCATTGACAGAAAACTCTTTAAGTTATATAGTGTATATAGCTAGTCATTTAGAATGCAGTAAATGAATTTCATTAAGGATGGTAGCATCTGAAAGGTATGATTTTATTGATGCAACCATAGAAACCTAGCTTATTGAAATGATAAATTGACTTTTCCCTCTCCCCGTCCATCTACTAACTAGTTCTTAAATAAATAAGAACTTTTCTGCTTCCCTTCTGTTATCATCCTATAGTCCAGCCACCATTATTTCTCCCTAAACTCCTGCAGCAGCCTCACCCTGACCCCACTGCCATCCCGTCCATTCTCAGCACTGTGGCTCGAGCATCCTCACCAGAGAGCAGGTGAGGACAGAGGCCCTGCCCTCTCTCACTGCTGAGTCAGCTGTCCTAGCTAGAGTCCAGCCCAGAGACAGCTTCTTGCTGAATGCACAGTTAAAGCAGCAGTAAGTCACTGCAGTGATTACCAACCGACTTTCAGCCCATTTGTCCCAGTTTTTGTATCACCACAAAGTGGTGGTTGCAATTAGTACAACCACTAGTCACCAGGTGTCCCTAACTTCTGTTTTTTAGGTTCTTACTCCAATGGCAGCAACTTGCCCTCCTAGAGAATTCCCTAGTTGGCTTCTAGTAAAAGGTGGAGACATGGGCAGGGCCTCCAGAGCTCCTGAAGTCAGAGGCAGCTCCCTGGACCTGTCTTCTGCCCCCAGCAACATACACTGTGCTAACTAGTTATGCCATCAGTTTAACCAGAACCCTTGTTCAATATTAGGTCTTATTTCTTATAAAAATGCAGTTTTAAAAGTAATGCTATTCATAAATAAGGGGTGGTTCATCTTTAAAGAGATATTTTAACTTTAGGATTGCTTTTTTCCTAAGAGAATTAAAATGTGTCTCTTGTACATAAATAACCTGTAGGAATTCTCACAAAGCAGAAATTACAGGAGATAAAATGAGAAACTGTCAGAAACATTAGTAATAGTAAACAGCTCTCATACCAAGACAAGTCAAGTGATCAGAAATAAGTACAATTACTAAAGATCTAAACATTATAAGGTAAACCTTTTGATTATATGTCAAACTCTCTAACCCAAGATTACAGAATATGTCTTCAAGTTATAGAAAACATTTATATGAAATGTTAAATAATTGACCATATCTTAGACTACAGAAACCTTAATAAATTTCAGAAAGTAGAAATATTACAA